ACAATTGAATATGGATACTATTATTGAAACTATGATATTTTATAAATAAGTTGTCGGAGTTTAACATCTATAAGTTGGACGGTGATTTTTGCTGATATGACAGAAACTTTAAGCAATCAATATCCTAAAAAATTGGATTACAGAGTTTATAAAAGAAGATTAGATGGTAAAGATGAACACTGTTCTGGAAAACCAATTTCTGCGACCGTTCTGGAAAACATAGATTCTGTCTATGATATGATGTTTGACATATCGACGAATACGTGTATTTCACAACGTTTATCACGACTTAAATATGAGAAAGCTTTCAGCCAAATTTATATCGAGATGCCTGAATACTGATCACACGCGGATTCGGTTGATAACGTCAAAGGAAATCTGCCGTCGTTTCAACAACAATTCCTCAAACTTTTTGGATCGGCTTCTTACTATGGACAAAACGTGGGTTCATCACTATGACCCAGAAACTAAAAAGCAATCCAAAGATTGGAAGCATTCTGGTTCTTAACCACAAACAAAATTTCGTCTTTAAAAATCGACTGGCAAGGTTTTAACTTCAGTTTTCTGGGACACAGATGGAATATTTCTGATAGATATTTGTAAGAGACTAAAACTATCATGGAAGAACATTATGTTGAGCTTCTAATGAGAACACGCGAGAAAATTCTGGAAAATCGCAGAGGTAGACTTTCCAAAGTTGTTCTTTTTTTTTGCAAGACAATGCAAAAATTATGGGATTGGTTTTAAATTGTTTGACCATCCGCCCTATTCCCCGTACCTATTTATTATTTATATAGTGAGTTGCATAAAAGAGGATTAAATTTTAAATTCAGGGTAATATATTTTATCTATGAATATTTATTATCTTCAGATTATAAAAAATGTTAACAAACCACATTTTAATAATTCTTTGATCCATCAAAATAGTTTTTTCGTTTATATTGTTATCATTAATAATTTTGATTCAATTATTAGATTGACGTTTAACTTCCAAAAGTATAAAATAAATACAAGCAGACGTAAAAAGTTCAAAAACTTTACTGAATTCGATAAGCTAAGTTTACTGAATATTATCAATATAACTATAGGAAATTATAATAAATTATCAAAATATTTCTGTCTGAAAATCAAACTTTAAACTTATTTTTACAAATGTCAATATAATCCTTTAAATAGTACAAGCCAGATATGGAATTATCTTAAGTAACAAAAACAAAATCTAGATATATAATGTATTATCCTGGATTTAAAATGTAATCTATGCAACACACTAATCAATTTTATTTAGGTACTTTAATTTGTTCAGTTATAGCATTTCCTTAGGTACTGACCTTGTTGTAGTTTCGCATTAATCATGTTTTGCTAATTTACGAAAATCCTTTAACTATCTCTATTACCTCCTGTCTAGTTTTCCCTCTTTTCTTAATTATTTATTTCCACTGGTGTAATACTGCGGTTGTCTTTAGTAAACCTTTCTGGGTTATCAATTATTCAGTTTAGCTTTTTTGTTCAGACATTTCTAGTTTTATCTGTGAATTAGCAGTTGTTTCTTGATTCACTTTGAGATCCTGATTTTCGTAACCTATACTTAATACTGTTACACAGGTTTTTGGTATCTCAATTTATTTCAACTCAACTTTAACAATAATTATACAACTGATAACTTTAACGGATAACGTCTATCATAAAACTCCAAACTGACATCAGGATCATCCTTATATAGCTTGTTTGACCCTTCTCGAACCTTCTCGAACTGTCATCTAGAATATTCTTGACGGGTAACGACATTTCCATACAATTCTGGACTATTCTATCTTCTTGTACTTTTACTTGTACTTTTACTTGTACTTTTCCTTGTACTTTTACTTGTACTTTTACTTGTTCTTTTACTTGTACTTTTACTTGTACTTTTACTTGTACTTTTACTTGTACTTTTACTTGTACTTTTACTTGTACTTTTACTTGTACTTTTACTTGTACTTTTACTTGTACTTTTACTTGTACTTTTACTTGTACTTTTACTTGTACTTTTACTTGTACTTTTACTTGTACTTTTACTTGTACTTTTACTTGTACTTTTACTTGTACTTTTACTTGTACTTTTACTTGTACTTTTACTTGTACTTTTACTTGTACTTTTACTTGTACTTTTACTTGTACTTTTACTTGTACTTTTACTTGTACTTTTACTTGTACTTTTACTTGTACTTTTACTTGTACTTTTACTTGTACTTTTACTTGTACTTTTACTTGTACTTTTACTTGTACTTTTACTTGTACTTTTACTTGTACTTTTACTTGTACTTTTACTTGTACTTTTACTTGTACTTTTACTTGTACTTTTACTTGTACTTTTACTTGTACTTTTACTTGTACTTTTACTTGTACTTTTACTTGTACTTTTACTTGTACTTTTACTTGTACTTTTACTTGTACTTTTACTTGTACTTTTACTTGTACTTTTACTTGTACTTTTACTTGTACTTTTACTTGTACTTTTACTTGTACTTTTACTTGTACTTTTACTTGTACTTTTACTTGTACTTTTACTTGTACTTTTACTTGTACTTTTACTTGTACTTTTACTTGTACTTTTACTTGTACTTTTACTTGTACTTTTACTTGTACTTTTACTTGTACTTTTACTTGTACTTTTACTTGTACTTTTACTTGTACTTTTACTTGTACTTTTACTTGTACTTTTACTTGTACTTTTACTTGTACTTTTACTTGTACTTTTACTTGTACTTTTACTTGTACTTTTACTTGTACTTTTACTTGTACTTTTACTTGTACTTTTACTTGTACTTTTACTTGTACTTTTACTTGTACTTTTACTTGTACTTTTACTTGTACTTTTACTTGTACTTTTACTTGTACTTTTACTTGTACTTTTACTTGTACTTTTACTTGTACTTTTACTTGTACTTTTACTTGTACTTTTACTTGTACTTTTACTTGTACTTTTACTTGTACTTTTACTTGTACTTTTACTTGTACTTTTACTTGTACTTTTACTTGTACTTTTACTTGTACTTTTACTTGTACTTTTACTTGTACTTTTACTTGTACTTTTACTTGTACTTTTACTTGTACTTTTACTTGTACTTTTACTTGTACTTTTACTTGTACTTTTACTTGTACTTTTACTTGTACTTTTACTTGTACTTTTACTTGTACTTTTACTTGTACTTTTACTTGTACTTTTACTTGTACTTTTACTTGTACTTTTACTTGTACTTTTACTTGTACTTTTACTTGTACTTTTACTTGTACTTTTACTTGTACTTTTACTTGTACTTTTACTTGTACTTTTACTTGTACTTTTACTTGTACTTTTACTTGTACTTTTACTTGTACTTTTACTTGTACTTTTACTTGTACTTTTACTTGTACTTTTACTTGTACTTTTACTTGTACTTTTACTTGTACTTTTACTTGTACTTTTACTTGTACTTTTACTTGTACTTTTACTTGTACTTTTACTTGTACTTTTACTTGTACTTTTACTTGTACTTTTACTTGTACTTTTACTTGTACTTTTACTTGTACTTTTACTTGTACTTTTACTTGTACTTTTACTTGTACTTTTACTTGTACTTTTACTTGTACTTTTACTTGTACTTTTACTTGTACTTTTACTTGTACTTTTACTTGTACTTTTACTTGTACTTTTACTTGTACTTTTACTTATGACGACCGCAGCACACTGTAGGGCGATGAGTAACATTCCACTTCTTTTTCTATCTGTACGTTTCCTATAAAAGCCGCAGGCTACTGCAGGGTGCTGCGTAACATTACTAATAAATACGCATTTTTTACATCCTTCCAAAAGTGGAATTGTTCATTAAAATTAGAGCAAAAAATAGAGCAGATAAAATAGCGCAGGATAATATTGCGCAAGGACAAAATAGCACAAGGACAAAATAGCGCAAGTCAAAATAGCGTAAGGACAAAATTGCGCCTGACAAAATAGCTCAGCACAAAATAGCGCAGTACAAAATAGCACAAAACAAAAAAGCTCGTGTAAAAATATTTAAGTATTCTAACCTGAGCAACCTGAAGCCATCACAGCTTGCTTTAAGAAAAAAATTGACATAAATTTAGAAAAATTAACAAAATAACTAATTCACCTAACCTATGTGGCCTGGAGCCATATACAGCAACCTGCTATAATTTTTCACTCGTTAATTTGTTTCCGTCTTTTATGAAAAAGCGCTAACTTGATTAACTGTAATTAGACTAGGCGTTAATTGGTCTCACTTTATTTATAACAGGCGCTAACTTGTCTCTTATGTATTTTTATCGCGCTAAAGTAGATCGGATCCTAAAATGTGAGAGAAACGAAGCCACAGTTTAAGCAATATCTACATAGGCGTCTTCATAAGTATTTGTTACGCATCAATGAATTTCAGTAATTAAAAAAACATGTCTTGTTCGTTACGCACTATTTTGTCTTGGTGTCATTTTTTCCTGCTGTCATTTTTTCCTGCGCTATTTTGTCCTTGCGCTATTTTTTCCTTGTGCTATTTTGTCCTGAGCTATTTTGTATGCGCTATTTTGACTTGTGCCATTTTGTCCTGCGTTGTTTTGTCATGGAGACATTATTATCATGTCCAGCCATCAACACACTGAGCTCTTATGTAATAAGCTTAAAAATGATCTGGAGATGCCTAGAAATATTTAATGAGTTAACCGAAGAAAATACAGTCTCACCTGGCTCGAGATAACGAGATTGCAGATGGTATCGCAAAAAATGGACTTAATCACCCTTTGTGTTTTGTGGTGCCTGAGCCGTTCTACAGTATCCGCCCTAACATTAGGAAATATAAAAAAAGGGTTGTAGAATAATTTACAATTGGAATGACCATCTCTTTGGACTATGACAGGCTAAGATGCTTCTGCCTGTGCCTGTATCTGACCACATACATAACATAATGCCATGTCATTATCATTTTTTCTGATTTCTATCGGTTATTTAATAAATTGGGGACCATTCCTGAAAAAATCAAATTATTTTTAATTTCAGATAAAGAACTAACCGACATCAAGACACTAACCAACTCGACGGTAGCTTTAAAATCTTCCTACGACGCTTCGATGAAAGTTTGCGCCATTGCCCGTCATCCACTTCTTGAAGCTTCCCTACCGGTCGAAGCAGAACTTCTTCCCGTATGGTCAGAACAGACCACCACTTTCGGCGATAACATGGAGAACATAATGTCGACTTCTTTTAGTCTGGTGGGAGATGTCCGAAATCCCCAACAAACTCTTTATAGAGAAATATTTGTAAACGGTTCAAAGATACTGGGAATCGAATTTGATCAATTTACTGGTAAAGAGACTTTCTTTGACATTGATAAACTTCCTCTGCTGACCATCAGTTACGATCCAGCTGGTTTACCTCTTCTTTATACGCCATATAATGGGGCAAATTCCTTGAACATCACTTACGATCATTTTAATAGAATTGACAGCTGGAAATGGGGATTATCCGAATTAAAATATAGTTACGATAGACATGGTTTATTATCCGAAGTTACTAGTCCATTAGATGGTACGCAAATATACGCTTATGATGATACCAATATGTTAGCGAAAATAACGTTAGCTAGTCAAAGAAGCTACTCTTTAAGCTACGATGATAACGGAGGTTTAAGACATGTTACTTTACCAAGCGGCACCAAACATTCCTTTAGTCTCCAACCAACTTTAGGATTCTTAAGAGCTACATACACCCCGCCCGGTAGTAACAAATCATACTTGCAACACTTCACCAATTCGGGAAGACTTTTACAAACTATTTTCCCTGGAGAAGGGGCCAGAATTGTCTACAGGTATTACGACAATGGCAAGCTGAAAGAAGTCATTCACGGTGACGGTAAAACATTCTACCAATATTCAGAAACTTCTGGTTTACCTAGCCAAGTTAACCATGTAGAGCAAGAGCTGGAATACAGATGGGACTACCAATATACAGGAGGTTTGCTGATGGAAGAGCGAATAGATTTTGGTGCCAAAACTGGTTTGAGTAACGCTAAATTCACATATGACTACGACAATAATTACAGACTTATAACTGCTCAAGGCAGAATCGGTGGTCAAAACTTACCCCAACATGGCTTGGGGTACAACTATAAGACTGGGTCACTAGAAATGCTAGGACCGTTCAAGATAATCAAACTGAGAATCAACGAGACTAACGTCTATGATGGCACAGCTCTATTTTCAAGTACCGTCAATTCCAGATTGTTGGAAACAAGATTGGCTTTGACCATTCACGGTATGGAAGTTTTCCGAATGGAGTTCAGTCACGATGTTCACGGGTAAGATATTTTAAATTAAATTTCAACACTTCTTATAACTAAGATTATCTTTTTTTAGGAGAATTTCTCAAACGAGAACTTATACCAAGAACGTTGGCGTAAATACTTACACAAACGTCAAGAACTATACGTGGGACTGTGATGGACAGCTTTTAGGAGTTGAAGCGCAAGAACCATGGGGATTCAGATATGACGATAATGGCAATATGCTTTCTTTAACCTACAGGTGATTTTTAAAAATTCTTTTCACTCTTTTCTTTGTCAGTTTTTAATTCTTTAAATGATTTTTTGGTGAAGCATAATTATGTTATTAAAAATACACATTTTGTTAAAGGTTTTGTCAAAGAAAAGCTAAAGATGTAATCACTTATCTTGATCTTATTTTTTTATGCTAAATAAATGATGTTTCTAATGCATTTTATCCTAGGGGAAATACGATACCTATGGAATATAATTCCATGGACAGGATCATCAAATTCGGCGAAGGACAATACAAGTACGACAGCAGAGGATTAGTTATACAAAATGCCAGAGAAGAAAAATTCCATTATAATTCGAAGGGGCTTCTAGTTCGTGCCACCAAAAGAGGAAGATTTGACGTCAGATACTTTTATGATCACATGGATAGGTAAGCAATGAATTAAAAATAATAATATTAGCCTTCCCTGTCTTGCAAATTTTTCTTATTTTTTTTGTTTTTCCTTTTAATCTAGAGAGAGCGCTTTTCTGTAAAAATATACATGCAAATTTTCGGTAACACGTAATTTCGCGAAAAATATCAATCAGAGCATCCATCCAAAATTGAAAATATAAGTCAAATAAACTTTTTGTTTCTAAATTTGATTATACAAATGTCGAATCGAATTATTGATCCAAATTTGATTTGACTTGTAAATATGGGGCGCGATTCGATTGCTGACGGTTTAGATGGTCAAACAAATTGAATTCAAAGTTAACTGGCTCCAAATGAGTTCGCAGTTGTTTGAATAGCAGATAATATTATTTACGAATAGAATTTAGATCTCGCAATGCGTTTACTCGCAAATAAAACAACCCGTTCTAATGGGGTATCATCGTATGAATGCTGATCACAAGTTCGTCAAATTTGAATTTTGCGTTAGACTGAATTAAATCTACGAAGAAGAGTTGGAAAGTTTTAACCAAACGATTTTTCACACTTTTTATAGATGTTTCATAGATATTTCATAGATATTACATAGATATTACATAGATATTACATAGATATTACATAGCTATTACATAGATATTACATAGTTATTACATAGATATTACACAGATATTACATAGCTATTATATAGATATTACATAGATATTACATAGATATTACATAGATATTACATAGATATTACATAGATATTATTAGATATTTCATAGATATTTCATAGATATTACATAGATATTACATAGATATTACATAGATATTTCATAGATATTTCATAGATATTTCATAGATATTTCATAGATATTTCATAGATATTTCATAGATATTTCATAGATATTTCATAGATATTTCATAGATATTTCATAGATATTTCATAGATATTTCATAGATATTTCATAGATATTTCATAGATATTTCATAGATATTTCATAGATATTTCATAGATATTTCATAGATATTTCATAGATATTTCATAGATATTTCATAGATATTTCATAGATATTTCATAGATATTTCATAGATATTTCATAGATATTTCATAGATATTTCATAGATATTTCATAGATATTTCATAGATATTTCATAGATATTTCATAGATATTTCATAGATATTTCATAGATATTTCATAGATATTTCATAGATATTTCATAGATATTTCATAGATATTTCATAGATATTTCATAGATATTTCATAGATATTTCATAGATATTTCATAGATATTTCATAGATATTTCATAGATATTTCATAGATATTTCATAGATATTTCATAGATATTTCATAGATATTTCATAGATATTTCATAGATATTTCATAGATATTTCATAGATATTTCATAGATATTTCATAGATATTTCATAGATATTTCATAGATATTTCATAGATATTTCATAGATATTTCATAGATATTTCATAGATATTTCATAGATATTTCATAGATATTTCATAGATATTTCATAGATATTTCATAGATATTTCATAGATATTTCATAGATATTTCATAGATATTTCATAGATATTTCATAGATATTTCATAGATATTTCATAGATATTTCATAGATATTTCATAGATATTTCATAGATATTTCATAGATATTTCATAGATATTTCATAGATATTTCATAGATATTTCATAGATATTTCATAGATATTTCATAGATATTTCATAGATATTTCATAGATATTTCATAGATATTTCATAGATATTTCATAGATATTTCATAGATATTTCATAGATATTTCATAGATATTTCATAGATATTTCATAGATATTTCATAGATATTTCATAGATATTTCATAGATATTTCATAGATATTTCATAGATATTTCATAGATATTTCATAGATATTTCATAGATATTTCATAGATATTTCATAGATATTTCATAGATATTTCATAGATATTTCATAGATATTTCATAGATATTTCATAGATATTTCATAGATATTTCATAGATATTTCATAGATATTTCATAGATATTTCATAGATATTTCATAGATATTTCATAGATATTTCATAGATATTTCATAGATATTTCATAGATATTTCATAGATATTTCATAGATATTTCATAGATATTTCATAGATATTTCATAGATATTTCATAGATATTTCATAGATATTTCATAGATATTTCATAGATATTTCATAGATATTTCATAGATATTTATAGATATTTTATAGATGTCAGATATGTGTCGAATTTAGAAAAAAATATTCGAGTACCGGATTCGGAAACTTACAATGTAGATATCCGAATAGTTTTTAAAAAAGTACGGATACTTTCACTTAAAAATATGAGTGTATTTTATTGAACTTTGACTGTATTGAGATCGAGTATGAGCAACAATGGCGCAATGGATTTGTTTATGAATTAATGCAGTTTTTCTACATGACGATTATTTTTGGGTTGAGTGACATATTTTTGAAAACATCATGATAAAATACAAATTGCAGCTTGTAACTGCGTGTATAAATACGACAGTTTTTCCAAAAAAATCCGCCTTGTAAGCATAATTGGAAAAATAAGTTTTATTAACTTGTTATAATTGAAGAGGTGAATGGCAGAAGGTGTTATCTAACAATGATATAATTCTGAGAAAACAGTTCGCAAAGTTTCAAATATTGCATCTGAAATTACTCTTTTATTATTAAAAATTTAAATACATATTTGTAGTTTCTTATCCTCTATTAGTATTTGTAGTTTGCATTTATGTAAGTTTAAAAAGTCTTTATTCATCAACGTTAAAAGGCAGATGACACCTTTGTCTGTAAACAAATTATTTATAAATAGTAGGGAGAGAAACTACTAAGAATTTTTTTGGAGGTAGATATCGATATAACACTTTTGTTTAGATATAAAAGTCAATTTTTGACAAAATCTTAGATAACGCCTTCTGCCATTCACCTCTTCAACTGTTTCGAAGATGCAACTATATAGGTATTTTTATATATTTCTTTGTTTAAATATTTTGTTTTAGTATTCTTTTTATTTGTTAGACTATCATTTAATAATTAAAAAAAAGTAATTAGTAAGATAAGTACAATTTTATCTAGAGTAATACTGGTTTTGTTAGATTTATTTTATAAAAACTAAATAACATTTTCTGCTGTCTAGATTTAATTTTCTTAAAATATTTTTCAACATAAACATGAGCTAGTCATGCTGAGCTGTACTATCCATCGCTGTAAAACCAAATAGACTTAAATAATGGTACAAATTTAAAAATAAATTATTGTTTCAGGCTATCAGCTAGAAAAGACAACTTCGGAAACGTCACCCAATTCTTTTACAATAACGGCCTCAGTCCCAGAGAAGTCAGCCAGATATATTCGCCCAGAGACGGAAAACTAATGTCTCTAATTTACGACAACAGAGGTCATTTGGTATACGCGCAAGTCTACAGACACAAATATTACGTAGCTACAGACCAATGTGGCACTCCTATAATGATTTTTAATCAATATGGTGAAGGAATAAGGGAAATTATGAGATCTCCATATGGGCATATCGTGTATGATTCGAATCCATATCTGTATCTGCCAATTGATTTTTGCGGAGGAATCCTGGACCAGGTATAATTAATACATTAAAATTCTTATAAGTAAAGGTTGCTTAGTATCTGGACTCAATAAGAAAATATCATTTTAAAGGATGTCTCAAAAATATTTTCGTTTATCAATACGTCCGCTGGCGCAATAGGCACATTCCTGAGAAATGAGGCAGTTGGAAAATGGTGATATACAGAGTTAAGTTTTAGTTGCAATGGAGCGACTTACGGGACTAAAACGGACTTTTTGTATTCATGCGTTTTATAAAAACATAGGCGAATGGATGTAAAATCCGCAGTCATAGAACCCCAAACAACAATATGTTCTTGTGCGTCGTTTGTACAGAAATCATTATAACATAGCAAGAATGAATGATGTTCCAACTGCAAATTTAATTAAATTTTGGTTAAAAAAGTTTGAGAGTACTGGAAATTAAATTTGCACTTCAGATATCTTTCATTCTTGCTATGTTATAATGATTTCTTTACAAACGACCTACAAGAATATAGGAATCATTGTTTTTATACTTAGATAAAAGAGACCGAAAATGTAACATTGCACACTGCGCATGTTGTCTATTTTAACCCAAAGTAACCTACCAATTGAAAATCACTGTTGGCACGACGTCACCCGAATTACTCCGATTTTTCCATTCAACGCTCACCTTCAATTTTAAGTTAACTGTCAATCACCATTGACAGCTGTTTTTTGATTTATTTGTTGGTGTTTTAGCATTTTTTAAAGTGTTCTAGTGATTCAATTTTAAGTTCAAAATGCCACGATGTATCTTGAAAAATTGTATATACTTATAATACAAGTACCAATGTTATGAAAGATAAAAAAATATATTCGTTTTCAACGGTAAATATTTATTAAGAGGAATACATACCCTCGCTTATTTGAAATAAAAGTCAAACGCCGTTATTTACCAAGCGATTTTTTTGAAATTTTGGAAGTTAATTTACTTCATACTTCTAAAAAAAAGTATGGGAGCAGATTTTTATTGAAAAGTCTAATTTTTTAGAAAAAAAAAATTTCACTCCGATTTTATTTTTTTTCAAAAATCTGCTGATATATCTTTTTAGATGTTAGTTAGATGTAAACATTCCCAAAATTTCATGCTTTTATCTTTAGTCATTTGAGCGCACAACAAAAATAAAGGTTTTTGTTCTAAAACTTGTTAAAAATAAATAAAATATTTGTTAGCGCCGGTCGAAACTCTCACCAGTGTAGTGGCGAGCGAGCTCGGATGTGTAACATCTTTCTGAGATTCTAGATTTTTTATGTTTTTGACAGTATGTCTGTTCTACTTTCCTCCTGCATTTTTTTAAATAATTTTATAAATTTAAATGAACATTTAGTGTATATTTTTGTTAATATATTTTAAAAGCGAATTTGTAATGATTATTATACAAACTTCAAAGGTAAAAAAGAAAATAAAATATATTTGGCTGATGCCATGATCCTTTGGGGGGTTTCAATAAATATTAAGCATCAAATATATATTTCAGAAAACAGATTTCATATTACTTACATAAATATACAAAAGGGTAAAATTTGAACATTTAATTTAAATAAGTAAATAGGTATTGTTGCTAACGAAATTTTGTTTTTAAAAAGTAGTTTTATAAGAATATTTAATAAAGGTGGTTTTTAGCCCTTTTTGGTAGATAAATAAGAAGTAAAGAAGCATAGTTACTAGCTAAATTTTATTTTTATAAGGTATTTTTATAAGAATATTAGATGAAATACAAGATGACCTACTTAAAATTTCAAGGTTCATCTTATTTGCGTTCAAATCGAAAGTGACATTTGAATCTTAAGTCTTAAAACAAAGTAAAACGCACAATATGATCTAGTATAAGCAAAAAATACTAAAGTTGCGGGAGTTAGTCACATTGTTAATAAAATATTACATTAATAACCCCTAAATAACTCGAACAAAATTTTCGTTTAGTAAATCCAAATTCTAGCAATATTTATTATTTATTATACAATCGAATGCGGTTTCAAAAAATCCGAATCTCTAAATTTTAGAGCTAAATGCTCGAATAAAAGCAAGCGACCGATAGGGGTTAGAAAAATAATCAATTTATCCATTATTTTCAATAAATTATTTTTGTTTTTTAAATAAAATAATATTCGATTTTAAAGGAACTACAAAAAGAAAGTAGAATTATTCAAAATGATCGATTGATTGAAAATAATCGATTTTTTGGAAATATCGATTAATCGTTTAATCGTTTTTTTTTAATCGATTATTTTCGATTTTTTAAAGTTATTATATGAAAATAATCGATTGTTCGAATATAATCGGTTATTTTATATGACCGATATTTTGGTTATTTTTAAGAATTATCGATTTATCGGTTAATCAGCTTTTTATAATCGATTATTTTCAATTTATCGATTATTTTCGATTTTCAAAGATAATAGAATAATCAATTTTGAAGGAATTATGAAAAGGATTATTAGAAAATAATCAATAATTCGGTTATTTTTTGGAAAATAGATTTATAGCAGAATCGGCTTCCTAATTAATTGGTTATTTTCGATTAAGCGATTATTTTGGAATAATCGATTATTTTCGGTATTTCAAAGATAATCGAATTATCAATTTTAAAGGAAATACAATAAAAATAAATTACTGATAATAATCGATTGATCGAAAATAATCGATTATTTAAAATAATCGATAATCTCTTTTTTTTAAATCGATTTATCAGTTAATCGACTTTTTAATTAATCGATTTTTGATTAATTGATTATTTTTTCAATGGACAAAAAAATAAAATGGATTATTTGAAAATAATCGATTATTTAAAATAAACGATAATTCTTTTATTATTTTTCGTAAACACTGATTTATCGGTTAATTGGCTTTTTAATTAATCGAATATTTTTGATTTTTCAAAGATAATCAAGTAGTCGATTTTAAAGGAAATACGACAAGAAATAGATTGTTTAAATAATCGATCGATCGAAACTAATTGATTATTTTTAATGATCGATAATTTATTTCGATAGTTACCCACCCCTAGCGACCAAATGACTTTTAATAGGTTTAAATTTTAAAATGTTATCAGGTTTCAGACATATGCATTTCTAGAGTTTTATGTGACTCGTCCTCTATATTAATTAATATTCCTAAAGAAAGAAGTTGAGGTTACAATACAAAACAGCATTTTCTCATTTTGACTAATTTTTAATATTATGTTGTAGCCGTAGAAAAAATATAATGTTCAACTCACAAGGTTTGATTTGCAGTATTCACCTGCGCACATGCTTTTTTTATAATACTCGTAGACAATAGCTTTGTTCGCGGTAAGAATCCTGAAGAATTATTACTAATAGTAACGATTTCGCAGGCGCCAACTATTGGTTCTATCCTGCGTACGCGGTAAAAACGAAAATATTTCTGAGACATCCTTTGGTTGATTTTTACCAAACCACCCTACTAGAAATTATTTAAAAGTTGTAATTGTTACAGGTAACTTCGTTGGTCCATATGAAAAATGGTAAAGTTTATGATCCTCTAATTGGCCAGTGGATGTCACCGCTATGGGAAAATATTCCAGAAAGGATACCAACTCCTACTCACCTTCACTTATACAGATTTAACGGAAATGATCCCATTAACGTCGAACTGGACAGAACAAGACCAGAAGGTAAAAAAACAGTTTATTTTTTAAATGTATGTTCGCTCGGTAGAGAATGATCACAATTCTATGGGCTCGAAACCCATTGGTATAGAATGTGTGGAGAGCATCAACACTTCAGTGATGTTTGTGACAGTTGTATTCAGATAGTTGTTGAGATGACTATGACCCCAAAAAGATCCTCTGATGGCAGGTTATATCTCAAAGACGAAAACAAAACATTTTTTGTTGTTTTATTTTATTAGTCACCCTTCTACAGCAATAGCGGTATTTTTTAAAACACTGTGCCTTGGAAGATGTGCGATTATTAAAGACATAAATTAAAGACATTTGCGGCCATCGTTAGCGCAACTGCATAGAAAAAGGTTTGTGTTAATTTATCCCCCCCCCCCACCCTCCACAACTCACTTTAAGGCACCATCGGTTTTTAAAAAGCTATTTTAAAGTTGATTTTATGAAAAATTTCTTCAAAAAAAAAGGTATTGTCAAATGGCAATTGCTGGATAGGCTGGAGGCTCTCACCTAAAACGGGATATCTGGCAACCCTATATGCTCGGTGCAGCCACCACTGGTATTTTGAAGGTATTTTTAGATAGATTATAACCCCCAAGTTTTAAATCGCCACTGTCTTCCTAGCCATTATCTTTAGTTAATCGAGTAAATGCTAGAAATGCTGATTCTGGGCCTCCATGCAATAATAGAGGTTTTGTTCAAAATGCTATCGGACATTTTGAAGCATCTATGATGACATTTTCATCAATTATCCGTTGTCGCAGATTTTCCTGTGATGTTGGGTGGATGGCAGCATACATTTTAGTTTTTAAGTGGCCCCATAAAAAATCCAACAGGCTTAGATCCGGAGACTGTGGGGGCTACTCAATACTTCCTCTTCTTCAGATCCTGGAAACCTGGAAACGTTTGATTCAAATACTGACGAACAGTGGTGCACCGTCATGGTGGAATATTAAGTTGTTTGCTATGTACTGATCGTCATCTTCAATCAACTCTAGTAATGCTGGATAAATAGCGTTTTCTAATAATTCCAGATACATTTCTGCGGTTAAAGTTTCTGGTAAAAAAGGGGCCCATTATACGGTTACCAAAAAATATAGCCCAAACATTCAGTTTTTCCGGATGTTGTGTATGTACTTCATGAAATATTCTGCGATTTGAATCGGCCCAATAACGACAGTTCTGACGATTTACCGTACCATTTAGCAAAAAAGTGCATTGTCTGAGTAACACACGTTGAAAAGAAATTGCTGATCATTTAATACCCGTTCAGTCATAATTTCACAAAATTGTAATCGTCTATCATAATCGTCTTCATTAAGTTCTTTTATCAGATGTATTTTGTAGGAATAAAACTTTCAATGTCTTCTGAATACTACGTCTCTTAATACCAGATGTTATCGCCAACTGTCTTGTACTCAATATGGGTTCATTAACAACATGTCCTAAAATCGCCACCTCTGTAGCTTCATTTACTACAGAATTTTCCATTTCACGTTATTTGTTAGCTACTGACCCCGTTTTCCCAAAATATTTGGACTAACTCCAAAATGTAGTTTCGATGGACTTGTCGATTTTGATGTTGATTGTTAAGCAGTTAGGCAGTTCTATTAGCACATTTATTGTTCGCAAAAAAAGTGAAATTATCTGCACCCTCTTAGCAATAGAGTAAACCATTATCACTGATATGCCACTTTTATGCCGACTCTACAACGAAATGAACTAAAACTTACTACTTTACGGCGACCAAAGAATGTCATCTGATAAGAATAATTGAGAGCCACAGGAATAAAAGTAAAATTGTTACAAATAATTCCTTTTTTTTAATAACAATGTAAAAATTATGTTGAACTGGTTTTGTACTTTTGGTGAGCCACTGTATGGGCTACATAGATAGTAGCGATGTAAAACTCGGGGGTTATCATCTAGGTAAAAATACCTTCAAAATAACATATCATTCGACCAATCTTTCCATTTAAGATATAACTGGTGAGTCTCACCCCCGATAGAGGGTTTCCGCTTAGGGGGTAAAACTGCCAAAACAATGTTTCCCTCTAAAAAACAAAATCGACGGGTCCAAGCGTTTTTTAGTAGATGACCTGGTTTCTCGCCAGCAATACTAGAGAGCTGTTTATAACTCTAAATGAACGTTTTTTTCTAACGGTGCTTGATCGGGAGCAACTTTCAAATGTTCTCCCTTTTCCCCTTTAGCATTTGCTTAATGGCATATGTACAAAGATCTTATCTTGATAATTGTAGACCGTTATAAATCTTTCTTTTTTGACGTCATAGGGTTTTTTTACACCAAAAATAATAAACCCTTAAGTTCAACGCGTTGTCTATGACAAGTTACGGCGACTTTTTTATCACAAAAAATATAGCTCTGAAAGATAATATTTTATTGAGGCATCTGACGCTATACCAACTTGGGCCATGACAGCTTCTTCATTTCACTTATTGACACTTTTTGTCCTCGTTGGGCTCTGGGTGCTCCGCACTCTGTTTAAAACTGCTCTGGGTGCTTGCGCACCCGGAGCCCCGGGGATTCGGCGCCTATGGTCATGTAACAGTGGCCAATATCAACTTTTTTTTTATTTTAAATACAACACCTTGTATATTTTAAATTTTTTTGATTCATCAGAAAATTCTAATCATATTTTATGTACTATGTCCAAAAATTAACAATAATAAAATAAAATAATTTGATTACAGAAATCCGTTACAACACACTCAAAAACTAATAAAGAATACTGTTTATTTCTTGATAATGTAACAAAAATACGCATCTAATGTAGGTGATGTTTAAAATGTTCGTCGAGAACCTCTTGGCAACATCCTAAATTAAAATAAAAATGTCTTCTAACGTTACTGAACATCTCAGGCGTGACCGATCTAATCGCAAGCTTTATTCGTGTTCTTAAGTCAACTAGGTTCGAGAGGTTTAGTTTTGTATACAATATTTGTGACATATCCCCATAAGAAAAAGTCTAATGATGTCAGATCAGTGTATCGTGCTGGCTATTCCACCGATCCTCGCCTCCCTATCCACCGATTTGAAAATCCTCGATTGAGGTGCCGGACATTGATTTGGTAATGGGGTGGTGCTCCATCTTGCTGAAACCATATCATATTTGCGGGAACTTGTAGATTTGCTGGATCAGGATATAAGTTCGTTAAAGTTGGCATGACATTATTTTGGAGCAGTGGTGTAAATAATTATCGCCATTCAAATTGCCATCAATGTGTATATTCTCCGTCTCATCCAATGAGGATTTTCCCTAGATCAATAGCGGCAATTTTGACGATTAGCATGACCGTGAAATGTAAAGGTAGACTCATCAGAAAACAAAACATGTTCTAATTAAATCACCATATTATCTAACATTTCCATTATTTGCTCACAAAATTGCGTTCTCCTATCAAAATCGTCTTCCTTCTTCCTCCTGAGTTGCTATTATTTTATAGGGATGCATCTTCTTTTTAATGTTCGAATAATCGATGAATGGCTAATATCGAACATTGGGGCTGCTTGTCGACTACAAGTATGTGGGTTTTCCTGAAAATCAAGCATAATATCCAATTTGGTATCATTAGTTATTGGATTGGCCGCTGTTTTTTTTTATCTGCCATACATGTCTAAGCTCGCGAAAGTGCTTTATACGCGGTAAATTTGGAAATTTTTCATGAAATAAGCAAGCAACTTCCATTCGTGTTCGTGTGTTTTCTTCATAACCAATCATCTGTAGAACTGTTATTTTGTGCATTTCTGATTAAAGAACCATTTTTCTGATATGCAGTTAAGAAAATTTAAACGACTATAACATTGACAACTTCTGTCATGCAGTCAGAAAACAATTTTCTAAGGTCAGGCGTTTTAAACAAAAGTAAATAAAACTATTTAAGAATTGCGTCTGACGCACAAGGAATCACATTTCGCACAAGAAAAAGATGGATATAACATTCTGCAAAGTAGGTGTCCCGGGACGTGGCGGTCCCCGGCAGTAAGTAGAGGAACTTACAAATTTCTAAACATCGACGAATAGTTTTCTACTTCTGTTTTCAAGGCTCGAGCCGACGAATAAATTTGCATAAGCTGGCCCGGCATTAGTATCATTTTAGAAGAAAATTTGAAAAGGTTATTTCTAGTTTGTAAATTACCCTTCATATCGTAAAACGTTAAAATGAAAGTATGCTAAAATACTAATAAACCAGTTTAAGTTTCCTAGCAAAAATCAAAACTCTAAACAATCAATTTTCATAAAATTTACTAGCATTAAACTAGTTTAGTCGGCTTCAAAGAATTCGTATCTATCCCTTTTTAATCCCTTATTTGAGCTGTTGTCTGATACCTTTTTACCTATTATTGAAATATTACAGGACAATAGATAATAATGGAAATTCCTAATATGATTTAATTCTGGCAATTAAATATTTTATTGTTCGTTATTAAATAACTTAGTTTTTAATTGGCATAGTTCATTTTTCAATTCGGCCAATAAAACTATTCTCTCTGTATATGTAAAGATATAGATTTTTTTTAATTTATTTATTTATTTTTTCTACGACTCACTAATTAAAATCCTACAAATAATTTTTAAAATTAGATAAAAACTAATTTGAAAATAATTAATTAATAATAACTTTCACTAGTTTATAAAATAATCCGTCTGTATTGTAAAAATGTGCGCAATTTAGAACAAAAGTCGATCTGTTTTAGTATTTTCCTAAAATCCAATGAATAATGCTGAAAAACAGGATGAAACTGTTTTAAGTGACCCACTCTCTGTATATCAAAAATGGCTAGATTTATCGAATTAGTTTATAGAACAAAATCTGCTTAAAAATGAATTTTTTACAAGATGCGCTATGTAAGAAAGATCCTCCTATCGAAAAAAAAATATTGAGCGCAGCGCCATCTACAAATTTAAAATTAATTTATGTCTAAAACTGAAGCTCTCTTAGCGCTCTATGAACTGGCTTTTACAGAATTAATATATCTCTATTACTTACCAAAATATCCGGCCTGGGAGTTTTTATTGGTACACCCTGTATACACAGTAACATATAGATTTAAATTATTAAGAAAAGCTAAATATCATTTTCCTGTAAACATCTCAGTTTCCATTCTACAGGGTGATAAAGAGAATTTTAATATATAATTTTCTAAATTCTTCCCATCGTTACGCCAATTTCTTAAAAATATATAAATGTTAGTAAATCATCATTATACATATTATATCGATAATTTACGATAACCCATAGGCGTAGAATCAGAGGATAAGAAAATTATTATGATCCAATCTTTCTTATTACCCTCCCAGACAACACACCAAATCACAGAGATATCTACAGAATATCTTTTGTGGATATCCAATATATTTACAGGATATCATATGAATATCCAAATAGCCGTCTATATCCAGGATATATATTCTATGGCTATATTTGAAAAATATCTAATAGGAATCTTTAGTAGAGTTTCACTGGAAAGTAACCACTAGATGATATATCCTCAATTATTTAATGTATTATGGATATCGAAAATGATATATAAGATGTCGTATTTAATGTTTTATTAATTTTTTTTTAAGATAAGTGGAATAATGAACTACATTATCTAAAAACATTATACATAAATAAAATCAGCATTTCAGTAGCATAATAGGTCAGTTTAATCCGAACGTCCTGTATTTTTATTTACACTACAGCACGTAGAATCGAAAGAGTATCAACATTGTACTTTTACAATTAAATATTGTACACCAAGGTGTACCTAAAAAATATTAAGTATGTGAAGTAAGTTTTAAACTCAATCCAACGTATGAGTTATCTAACATAACATGTAAGCATCTTACAAATAAATCTTGTTTATAAGTAAACTGTAGGTTGGTAATAGGTTTATATTAAATAAACATTTTATAGTCACCGCAGTATCAACTGAAATTTTCTTCCTTAAAAAAAGACGCTCAGTTGGAGAATTCCAAAAAAAAGTGAAACTATGTTTTAAATCAAAGCTATACTCAGATGTAATAGGATTACCTTACCCAGCGAAAAAAAATACCTATTTCTAATTAATTAAAAACCATTAAACAATAAAAACCAAACCATATCACCAACAGAATAATACAATATCTACATCACACGAAATAAGTAGGTATATGAAGGTAGGTAAATTGCATCGATCTTATAATAAAATAGGGTATCGTAAAAACAACACGAATTTCTAATTGTGAATTACCTAAGAAAGCCGCAGATTTTAACATACATTGCATAGATTATTTTTATGAGATAGTTAATAAAGTTTTTGAAAATAGTGTTGAGAAATTTAAAAATAACAATAAAAATTTTAACAAAAAGCAATTTTCGATTTGGTCCACAAACGAAATGAAAGTTATGGTAAACGAAAAATTTAAATTAGGGAATTTAAGAAAGATATCTGATGAATATAATAAAAAATTTATTCAGCTTAGAAAGAAAGAAACTAAAAGATGTAACACGGTTAGAAAATAAAAAATACATAATGGGGACAGAGCAAAATATTACGACAAATATCAATAGCTTTTGGTCATATACTAATAAAAAACGAGGAAGTTCTTTTTAGAAATGGAAAACTTTTATCTTAACAATACTGATAAGTACCGATAAATCAACATGCTTAGAATTTTGCTAATTATTTCGAAACTATGTTTAATAAAGACCATAGTGATCATGAAGAAGTAAATGTGAATATCAGTAATCACGATATACTTAGTTTTAGTAAAGTTTAACTTATCATTAGAGTATGAAATTTTCCCAAAGAAGTGGAAAACTGCGACCTGTGTGCCAATTTTCAAATCAGGTGATGCAACTGATGTATCAAATTACCGATGCGTCTCAATTTTATGTGCTCCAGCAAAATTATTAGAAAATATTTTATATCAAACGATTTATTGGCATGTAGAGAATAGCGTAAGTCTTTTACAACACGGATTTGTTAATAAAGATCTATCAACACTAATTTGTTTCGGTTTACTTATGAAGTCTATAACTCATTTGAGAATAAGATCCAAATGGATACACTGTATGCAGAAAAGTTTGATAGATAGAGTTAATCATAAAATACTATTGAGCAAATTAGAATATTTTGGTATAAATCATGGCATTTTAAGAAGTTATCTGCAAGATAGGCAATTTTTCGTTAAGTTTAAGGGGAAAATTTCTAGTTTTTGTGATATTACCTCTGGAGTTCCTCAAGGATCCAATCTTGGACCGTTACTCTTCGTATTATTTATAAATGATTTGTCTTCTATACTAAAAGAATCTAAATGTTTACTATTTGCAGACGATGTCAAAATGTTCAAGGAAATAACTACTGTTAGAGATTGTATAGGACTCCAAAGAGATATCGACAGAATACATGAATGAAGTGATAAAAATAAATTATATTTTATTCTAAAATAGTGTAACATAATGACATTTACATATAAAATAAACCCAGTATATTTTGAATATATTATGGTTAGAGAGAATACTTAAATAGAATTAATGAAGTTAAAGATTTGGGTGTGAGGTATGATTCCACACTATCATTTGCAGAGCACTTTGAAAAGACTTGCAAGAAGGCAAATAAATCTTGAGGATGTGTTATAAGAAGTTCAAAAGAATTTTCTAACATAAACACAATAAAAACATTATATTTTACTTTAGTGCAACCTATTTTAGATTTTGCTTCTATTATTTGGCATTCACAGCCGTATACTTTTTTGAGTAATATTGTGAAAATACAAAAGAAATTTCTAAGATATTTATATTTTAAAGAACATAATATATGGCCCGATTATAATATAACAAGGACACCGCATTTGAGGAGCACCTTTAAAATTAATTCTCTTAGTTTAAAAAGAAATGTAAATATGTTGATGTTTTTATATAAAATAATAAACTCAGAAATTAATGATCCAAATATATTAAGTATCATAAGGTTTAATGTGTCTCGATACGGTGCTCGACATTTTCAAACTTTCAGAATTTCCTTATATTCTTTGTCATCCACCGCCCGATCTTTTCTGCTAACTATGCTTAGACTTGCAAAATGAAGTAAGTTCCTTAACAGAATTAATTTTTTCCTTGACCCTACGACAATTTAAGAAAATTGTTAATGACTATTTTAATTAATTTATCGATATACCTATGATTGTATTAATTTTTTTGACTTATATTAGTGTTTAATAAACAATAGTTATGTATTGGATATGATTGTATATTTGAATTAAGTATTCCATGTAATTAGGCTTGAAGCCTGTTTGGGATAAATAAATAAATATATCTACCTAACAATCTTAATAACATGAATTTAATTATTGTCTTATTAAACTTAAGTCTATCAACCTTTTATACTAATAAATTTAGGTTTTAAAGCTTACTTACCTCCTTTTAAAACTCCTAGTTATGAAATAAAACTTAGAATTTCAGAACGCTATACACATACACTACGAAACGACACAAATGAAACAAACAATAAAGATGAGAGGGCATAAAATAACCGCGCCTGCGCTCGCGTTCATTGCCAAGATTATTTATCTAGCGGATATCTATGGTATATTGAATACAACTTACTAATTTAAAATTTCTAAACCATACCTAAATATTTTCTTAGTTATCACATGGCGTAATATTTAAGTAATTTAATAATAATTAAATCAATTGACATATTTTCCGATATTTAGGTATATATTGTATCCATAAATTACATCTAGTCTGGATATTCACCATGATTTGCGTTCGCGTCTAGACTCTGATATATTAAGTGGATATCCATGGGATATTGAATACATCTTTAAAAAAATGTAATTTCAAATATCTAAACGGTACTATTAGCCATAATGGAGTATTTTTTAATAATTTGTTTTGTAATTACTATTATTTATAGATATTTGAATGTCTATAAATTACATCTCATGGATATAAAATAGATGTCCACCATGGACTGGACATTCAGTGGATATTGGGATGTCCACTAGATATCCAAAGGATTTGGTGTGCTGTCTGGGGCAGTATTTAATAAAAGTTGAGATTCATAATTATTTGTCATGCAATTTGTCACAAAAAAAGTACTCTTGGTTGATTTCTACAGAATATTCCATTTTCGACATTTTTTAATTTTAGCCCGCCTAATCAGACATGATGATTATGTACTTGCTATTATATTACTTATATATAAAATTCCAAAAACTCAAATGTTTATTTAATAAAAGAGATATGCCTATGAAACTTACTAAAAAAATCTAAATTTTATCAAAAATGTTTTTCTTACAAATTGATCTTATTTCTTAATTCTTCTGGCCGAAGTACCATCTCAAGTTTTCTGTATACAGTAAAATATCGTGATAAACCGTGTCCTGCATCTTGAATGTGACATAAAATCCTATTTAACTCAAACGATGTTTATTTTCACCGGTAATGTTTCTTTTCACAGACCACCTTGATTGGCTGAAGAAAATAGGCTTCGATCTGAAAAACCTGGCTCCACAACTATACCCCGACGATCTTCCCGGCGGTACCATGCCTCCGTTCCTGTCCCACCCGCCAACGTTTTGGAATCCGTCCAAGAACGGTCTCAGCAGCCAGTTGAATATGCAGCAGTCTTCCGTCGAGATCCATTCCGGATTTTTATCTCACCTCAATTCCAGAAGAATGCTTACGGCTGGAGAATTATCGGTCTTCTCAAAATCAGCTCTCAAGACTAACGTTATAGATTTGGTTCCAAAGAAGATTGGCTCAGCTTCTGATCCGCCATTCGGCAGAGGTATTTTGGTATCGCAGACTGAATCCGGACAGGCAATTGTGTCCAGCGTCCCAGCTGCCAACGCCATATACAGAGACGTATATACGTCTGTGTTCAATCGGTCTTATTTGCTGCCTTTCACCTTTATTGTACACAGCGCACAACAGGATGCATTCCACTTCGTTAAAGATGAGACATGGAAAGCTAATGATGACAAAGGTATTATATTAAACATTCTTAAAGCAAGAAACATTCTTTTTTTATATAAATTGTGTCATGTGGTTTTTACTAACTTCTTATGTGATCATTGTTACAGGTCAACTGAAACGGCTTCAAGGTCAAGTCAACACGACATTCCACGAGATATCTAAAGAAAATGGAAGTGGTACAAACTACTTCGACGTAAAAATCCATGGATCCAACGTAGTGATCAATTTGAGATACGGAACAACGGTAGAAAAGGAAAAACAACGGTTGCTTCACCACGCTAAACTATCAGTCATTCGAAAAGCGTGGCACAAAGAGAAAGAATGCTACAAAAGCGGCTTCACCGGAAGCATAGATTGGAGCGTTAGCGAATTAGAAGAGCTGTCAAAAGTTGGATACGTCAGTAACTACGAAGGAGAGTACATACACGATGTCCAACAGTATCCAGAGCTAGCAGAAGATCCGTACAATATCAAATTTGTGAAAAAACAAGTAGAGTCCAGCAAAAAACGTCGAAGGAAACGAGAGGTTAGGAAATCTTGCCGAGACCACTGGTGGTTCACCTTCTCGCAGGCATGCTAGTGTAACAAATTTTTTAAAAACTCGATACGAAAGTAAATCTTTTCAATTAACTAAGTGTGATGTACCAAAAAAAAGAGAAGAAAGCTTACAAAGTAAGCCTTTTATACCAAAAAAACCAAAGTCTATTTGTGTAAGAATTTCAAAGATGCCAAAAAATGTATATTATTTATTTACAATATGTTACCTATATGTATGTGATTCAAAAAGGTTTGGCGTGGATTTTGCTCAATCAAAGTGTTTTTATAATTTCACAATATGACTGATTATTGATGTGTTGCGAAATTCAATTCAAACCGCTCTTGTAAATATTTTGCATAATTATAGGAAAAATAAGACAACTGAAACTGTATTATAAGTCTAAAAACAATTTTCAAGAAACATTTTTATATGTACGTCAAGACATTTTCACTTTTTTAACGTTTTCTAGTTTTTAACATTTACTTCTTGCTCTTTACATTTACAATTTAATAATATCTATATACAATATTTTAATTAATTTTATTGGTTATTTAAAAATGCATATAGAACGACAAATGCTTCGTTAAAGTAATCCTTATATCATAAAAATAAAAATACGTTCAAAATTATAGTAATTGAATAAGGAGGCAAAGTCAGAAAATAATGTCCAATTATTGATATAGTCAGAATTGACGATCAAATCATAAAACGGGCAACAGATCGAGAGGGGAGTCCTTAAGAATATACATAAAGAATAGGTATGTTCAGGAGTGGAGAAATGTTTATAGTTTTATGTTGATAAAGAAAAAGAGCTCCAAAGATGTGCTAATTGGTTTTAAAAAAGTAGCAAAGTTCCTGCATTAGTGGTTTTTTAAACCTACGAGAATTATTTCTTGATTCTCCATTTAAAAAGTTTATAGTTTGACGCCCTTTAACTGCCTTGAAAATCTTATAATAATGTTACCACCGCCAGAACATTCGAGCCAGTAAATCGTAACAGTACGTCTATACCTCATACCTACCGTACTCTTTCTTTTTAGACGTTATGATTTATAGTCAACAGGACCTGTCACTTTTTTAAAACTACTGCTTTTCTGTCAAAAATGGAACATTCTGCTTCAGTGACAAGTGAAAGGAACTTATAAAAGAATAATTCTAATATCCTATGAAATATGGTACTACTTATAGTTGTCTCTAAAAGGTCTTCAAGGCAGAAACTACAAAACAGTATAACCAGTACTAAAAGAGTACAAACGTTTCTGGTTAACTAGTAGCCTACGAAGTATTGGATATTCATCTTTTTGCGTAAGGTGTTTCACTTTGCCTCGAAAAGTGTTTTAAATTGAACACTTGTTTTAAGGAAATGAAATTGGGTCACGGAATTTTGTTAGAAAATCTTTGTTTGAACCTTTTTTTAGAAAAAAAATTTTTTCAAAAATATTTTGTTCGAACGTTATTTTCTTTTCGAAGTAATTTTCTTCGAATTATTTTTACTCGAGAAAACTTTTTTCAAATAACTAGTTGCTTGAAAAAATATTAGGCCTTATCAAATTCAAAAAAGTGGCTTAAATAAAAGATACCTACGATAGCGATAGTGATTTTTCGTTTGAAGCTAAACTTTTGCAAGCCATTGCATTTGTTCCCAAAATTTGATAAGAAATGCTTTTAATGTTATTATGGTACATAATATTTATGATGGGCATAAAATTTCAAAATATAGTTAACTATACTGAGAGGAACAATGAAAAGAAGAGTTACAAAAAACATACATTCTAATTTACATGTAGAGTTGTTACTATTATGTAGCATAATACATCTATTAAAAACAACATTGTCGAGGTTAAAGCTACCAAAGTTTTGTAAGGAACAACTCTTAAGTGAACTCAAAATATTAAAGAAAGAAATACGAGAACGAAGTAAAAAACGAAGGAAACACATTTGAATCACTCTCAGAGGTTACAAAATGTAGTAGAATAATTCGATGTCAAAGGAGGAAACGAAGAGTTATTAGTATATTTTAATATCTCTTCTAGTTTCTGCTGTAGGTCTAGTTGTACAGAAGTGCTGTGGAGTAACCCACCCTCCCCCACCTTACAGATACATAGGTATATTTTTATAGTTTTAATTGTGTTATATTTGAAATAAATTTTCGGTCGAGTGACGTACAATATTTTTTTTAAGAACGATACTTCCATGTAACCTAAATTATTTATTTTATTTAACATAGTGATTAACAAATACTAAAACTAGATAATGGATACAACTGCACAAACTAACCAAATTTTCATTTTTTATATCAGATAATTCAAAATCTTAATTCATATTTTTAAATTTGCGAAGAAAAGTCTGACATGAACAACAAATTAAAAATCGACGAACTGTCACTTGACAATAAATCGGAACGTTGTTACCATAGTAACGAAATCAAAGCAGACTATTATCAAACAGCGATCGGAAAAATGAAAAACAGGGTCCGGTAAAGGTCTAATTTCTTGATCAGCAAAACGTTATTTTCTGGACAAAAAATTGTTCAGAAAGTGTATATTTTCTGGTCGGTCTTAAACAAAAAATTCCAGAATAGTATATTTCATTAGGAGTCCAGAAAATACGCTTTTCTCTTGCGAGCATGACAATTTGCGTGTGAAGCGAAGCGAAATAACTAACAGCGTATATGTTTAAAAACAATTTAAAAATCTGACAACTGCTGTAATAATACAGGCATTATTTAGTGTTGCTAGGCAAAATATATCATGACGGCATTTAGCGCATAGGAAAAATTTTCCCGTGCGATGGCATGGAAGAAGCCCATTTGCAATGCGCTAAATAGTCATGTAAAGATAGTTTTCGGCACATCTTTTCTCAAAAAAGTAGGTACATTTTTTTAAATAATTTTAAGTAAATAATGTTCGAAAATGTATTCTTTCGAATGCAATTCCTCCTAACTACAGGTTTTCGATTAAATTTATTTATGAATACATAAGTTCAAAGTAAATAACTTTTGAACAAAATATCTTTAAAGAAAACTCATTAGAAAAAAAGGTTAGAGCAAAATTCCGCCTCCCAAGGATATTGTATTTATTTTCCTTTATTTAACCAAAATATGTGCCTTTTAACTTTTCTCGTTTAAAAGAACGGTTCTTATCGCGTCAAAAAATTAAATTATAATGGAATAATTACCACTAGATATTGATACTTAATCTTTCCACACATAAAGGGTAATATAGTTTTTATTTTTTTTTTTTTTTTTTTCGCAACAATTGATTTTTATTAATAATTATTATTAAATATTAGAAACAGTTTTAATATGTCCAAAAAGTCTCGTGGCCCTTAACATGGCCGCACCTCGCATTTTTCCAGTTTTTTTTGTTTGATTTGATATTATATTTGTGATCAGTGGCTTGACGTATAATTTTAAAATTTACTTCCAGTTTGAATCATTTCTTTATAATATAATCGACGTTTGGAATACACGGTGTTTGTTCTTCATGTTGTTTCATGGGATTACATGTTGCTTTTTGTTTCTTGAAAATGCAGAGTCACTATTGTGCTACAACCATTATTAGCCAAAAAAAAAAACACTACATTGTTTGAATGAATGAACTTTAGAGGTATCAAAAAATTGTAAATATAGTCCAGTTATAACTTTTGAATAATTTAAAAATTGAAAAACGAATTTATCTTAGATAGGGTGAATAAAAATGATTAATCGTACATATATGTTGTATTGCTTTTACTCAATTACCATTATCACTGTGACTGATCTATGTTGAATATGGTAAAAAAGATAGAGAAAACAGAACCTTATCTGCTGTGTACCTTGCCATTTCGTCACATTACCTAAAATTTTTATTTTGTTACCTACGATATATGAAAAATATATATTTTCACTCTATACGCGCCTGCCACATAGTATATCAGTATATCCTGTGTGCTCTTTTATTGACATGGATTTAAGTATATGGCATCTTTTGTAATCTTTTCTACAATATCATTTAATTCGCTGCTATTTATAATTTTACTTAAATGTTTTTAAAAGTTCCTACCTTTAAGCTGTCAAATAACTATCAAATGTAAGATGTTATAACATTTTGACAGCTACAATTTTAGATCGTTTATGTATTTCTGTCATCTGTTACCTTCCTTAGGCACTGCTATTGTCAACCTTTAAAATCGCCAAATATAATGTTTTCACATCAATGTCATACGTCATTTTATCCGTTTGCATGACGTAGTTAAAAACGCGTGGAAAAACGTTCTGAAAAGATTATTCAAAAATGTATGCCATAAATCTCATAGTTTGAATGTTATATGTTGTCGACAAATCCGTAATATTGCTGGTAATTGTTTATAATCAGATATGATGATGTTCATTCTATTTATGTAACCCAGATGATTTATTTACTTGTACAGTTCTTCTGTTTATACATTTTACTGCTAAATAAATTTATTATTTTATTGAAAGTAAGCATAAGTATTATTATGAATGTTTTTTGAAATAAAGAACTTGTTTTTTAATCCTGTTTTTTTGTTGTTGTATATGACATTTTAGTTAGGCTCTTGTCGAACTAAAAAGAACAAAATATCTATAGTTGTAGACAGTATAATGGAATGCTGATTGATCTCTTCCACCACTGCAAAATTCGTAGATTTTCGGAGGTTCCGGGACAGGAGGAAATGTTTCCAATGGCGGGCAATTGTAATGTTTTACATAGATATGAGATAAATTTATATTCTAATTGATTCTATTAAAAAATAGTGCTGGACAAAATGTCGTGTGAAAAACAGCGCGTCCTATAATAGCGCTAGAATATTTGAGCGATTAACCTTTTAGCGCTAGGAAAAAACCTAGTTCCATAATAGGTGCAAGAAGATAGAGCGTGTCTCCAAACAGCGTCACTTAAATTACCCGTGTTGGAAAAAGTTCGTATACTTCCATGTCGCAAACTAATATACAGCACTATTATTTTCTACATAAATTAATGAAAAAAAAAACTAATTTACTCAACCCGTTCCTCTGCGGGTAGCTATGCAAAACATTTGTGCATAAGATGAGAAAAATGAAAAATCTAAACTAATTTACCTAACATGTGTGGCCTGGAGCTATTTAAATTTAATCGATCACTCATACGCAGGTTAGGAAAATTAGTGGGTTTTTAAATTTTCTCATTTTATGTATATTCTTTTGCAAATCAATCCGCGATGATTTCAGAGGCCGCACAGTTTAGGTAAATTAGTTGTACTTTTAAATAGTTTTATGTTTATTTCTTTTGGGCATATTTAGACTGCCGCTATTTTAAAAAGTGCTATTTCGTTCGGGCGCAGTTTTGACTGACGCTCTTTTGATAAGCGATATTTTATCGTAGGGGTCAATCAGTGCAGTGGAAATTTTAGCATTTACAGTTCGGTTGTTACCGAAAAAGCATGAGGCTGGCCCAAAGAAGGCACCCTGGAAGATGAATCCGAGAGTAGAGGGTTAGATATGTAAAATTTTTCCATGAACTACCCAGCAAACCATTCTGTTACATGTTCCCTCCTGTTACATAACTAAGAAGGATAAAATATACTTAGACTGTCTTGTATGCACTTTTATGTGTTATTTATGGAACCGAACACCTAAGTTCAAACTTAGCACCATAGTTATATACCATGTATATTATTAAAATATATGTTACAAAATTACATATTCGCTATATAAATTTCTTCACGTAAAGGTTATATCAATTTATATATCTATATGTAATCTACATTAAAGTAACAATTTGTACTAAATTATTTCGTTCAAAATGTTACATAGCGTATATATAAATAAATGCTGTTGACCAAACGGTCCTTGAAATACGCATGTTTTTAGGTAGGTAAGGTATATCTGGTGCATTATTTTTAGTAGTGTTTCAATGTTCAATGGCGGCTATAGGCGTTTTATGGTGGTACCTGTGGCATTTATGGATTTATTGTGGAAAATAGCAGGTATATTATGTTTTTATAATGAAATTGAGTTATTATATGTGTGTACTGTATTTCGATGATACATTTGAGGTGTAAATATTAATTTTTGTTCTCTTTTCAGGTCATGCTTGATATGGGGCGCTGAATTTTGAGGCCGTGGATGGTCGTTAATTGCAGATGTTTTGTGATTTTTATGATGAATTTAGATTATATTTGTGTGCAATATTTTTATAATACATTTTTGGTTTCGGTTATGAATTTGTCCAATAAAATTATTGATATACCTAACAAATACGTTTAAATTACTTTTTTTTTTATTCCTCCAAATATTTTCGACGTTTTTTTTTGTAAGTATTTGTCTACTTAAGAACCATATAGAGAAACTTTATTATTGGTTATGTGAAAAAATTTATTCTAGATAAAAAGCCATGTATGATCCAAAACTTAAAATGCAACCATCAGATATCAATTTTTTAAGCTGTTTGCCAAAAAATATAAATTTTACTCAAGAATAAAGTACCTTTATTTTTTACAATACAGAAGAATGTTATAAAGTAAAATTATTTTAAATTAAAAGATATATTTAAATATGCAATTACAGTCATTTAGCAGTGATTAATTAATTTATAACTACAAATAATTTATAATGTAAATCGTAAATAATCACCTAACCTGAATTTTCATGCTAATGACTATAATTGCATATTTTAATATAACTTTTAATTCAAAGTAACTTTACTTTATAATATTCTTCTGTATTGTAAAAAATAAAGGTATTTTACTCTTGAGCAAAATTCATATTTTTAGAAAAACCTCGTATACGGATTGTATCTGATGGTTGCATTTTAAGTTTTAGACCATGCAGAACTTTTATCAAGAATACTTTTTTTTAC